GTGTGTGTGTGTGTGTGTGTGTGTGTGTGTGTGTGTGTGATGAAAATGCATGTCAGAGTGCGCCGTAAGCTGTGAGAATTCAGTGTGATCACAGCACTGGCAGAGCTGAAGTCGGGGGAATGCTGCTGAGAATCCAATGACCTGTTGTTGCTCCTCTCAGACGAGGGGGCTAACAGAAGAGCCTGGGATCCCTTTAATGTAGAGTTGGAGAGTGAGTCCGCTGACCGGCTGTCTGTTAACAGTGCTCCAGGTAGTCAATGACCCGCGAGATGGACTTTTGTCCTGTGGAGCCCATTGCACACTGTGTAGAAAATAAGAAAACCAAAACCAGAAGTGTGAGGGCGACAACGTGTGATGATTTTTGAGAGGGTTTTAGATTGTGTTAGCTTGAAAAGAAATCAATGGTTCACATCTTCATTTCTGACAGAATGAGTCACAGTCTAGGCTGAGGCTACATGCACACATCTGTTACTGTTCAGTTTCATGTTAATGCTTGAATATATTTAAACTATCCTTCACATTACTACTTGTTGTGAACAGTTATGCAGCTTCGGTGCACAAGAATCACACTGAATTGATGATTTAACGACATGGGGAAGATTTCTGAGATTTCTGAAGCTTTTGAATATATGTTGCTCATATCTATCTGCTCCACAACCAATTCAGACTTTATGCATTTTCAAAACCTCTTTGTTAACGAGATAAACAGAAATAAAAGCTGTCCTTTTAATCTGTATTCTAGTATTTTATCAGAAAGGAGGTCCATAGTGCAAAAGCTGCAATTATTTTAAGATAAAAGGAGGAATTGTGCAGAAACATTGGTCATCAAAATGTTTATTTGATCCCAGCCACCCCACTGCACAAAAATTGTGCTCAATGGGCCCAATTAAATGGCTTTTTGTAACTTCAATAAAATGTGCCTGGAGCTGAGGATTGCATCAACACCTCAAGGCATTTATATAAAAGACCTCTCCGGAGAAGTATTTTTATTACCTGAAATTTATAGCTCATCTTTTAGGGGATTGATCTGATGATTGGTTGCTGCTCAACCATCTCCTGTTCAGTTTCTACATGTTTGCAGACGCTTACACTATGATTCATCTCAACAGTATCATTATGCAACACTGGTGACACAAAGCCTCTCTTGACAGTCATACTCACAGTGAGGTTCATGAAACTCAAGAATTTCTTCAGCATTTCTGTCATGATGGAGAAATCCCCTTTAGGTAGATGCTTTCTCACAGTAGTCACGTTTACCTGGGGTGGGGGCAGAAAGGTGGGTGAAACGATGATATGAATATTTTTGAGTAGGAAACAATCTCCAGTCCTATCATGTATGTTTGCGGTCGTGTCTGATGGACTCACCTGGCTGCCCTGGCACAGACAGCCCAGCAGCAGAGCCGTGTAGGAGGCAGTGATGCTGTCCTCCATATGCTTGCCTGCATGCTGCAGAGCTACAACAAAACCAAGCAAAAAAGAAACAGTTTCACCATTACAGGCACATACAATGCTGTTTTGGGGAGGAGGGTTTCAGACTCATAGCAGGAGCCACTTAATAGAAACAAACATTGGCTGGAGACATCCTGTGAGGAGTTTTATATTTCCTCCTTATCAGGAATCAGTGTTTTGAGATACTTTATTGACCTCTTAAAAGCACAACATTCAGCGCCTTATATGGCTGCAATGGAATGATGCTCTATGTGCAGTGTTCTGAAACGGGTGAGAGGAATCCTGTCGCTATTCCAGCTGCAACCAAAAATGCGTGTGTATGTGGACTCATTCATGAACTCTGCCTCGAGTCGCACACATTTTTTCCCCCTCCAACCCTCATTAGCTGAGATGCAGAGAAGGAAATGAAGCTGCTGCCCTGTAATAATCATAACTGCAACATTAACCTCATTTATCTAGAGATAAGATCTAAGATTTCTGTAAATATTCTGAGTCTTTTGAGCCTGAGCTTTTGTCTGTTCAATGTATTTTTGTGGTATTGACAGTTAAGGACAATATTGTCTCTTCTTATGCTGTGAAAGTATCTGGAAACCTCCACAACACCATCTATCAGCAACTGACAATACAGTCCTGAGATCCTGCAACAGTCGACCTAACAAACTTTCACACCACGACTTGTGTGACCCCATGACTCACATGGCGGCCGGGTGGTGAACGTGGGGTCACATGTTAACAACAACCTGACAAGACGTTAAATGCTTTGGACTCTACTCAAGTTAGAAGTGAGGCATTCTGGATGAGAAGGCAGAGGTATCAAACCCACCTTTATTTAGGTCCAACTCTTCATCTTCCTCCTCTTTCTTCTCGGGTTGGCTGTCGGTGGTCTCGGATGCCACCCACTGGATCTCTCCCGACGTCTCCTGCCACTCTCCACTTTTGTCCAGTGCTGGCTTGGGTGCCTCACTGATCAAGTCGTCAGTCTTGGCTTCAGCCAGGATGGCGGCGCGCTCTCTCTCCAGGAAGTGCTGGGAATTAGAGCAATAAACAAATGTCATTCTCTTATTAATTATCTTTTCAGAAAACTTTTTATTCATCTTGAAATTTAAATCCAATAATGAGTCTGGGTTGATGTACACATGCGTATTACTATATTTATACAACTTGTGACTTGTGCATTTACTTAAAACACTGACCATCTGACACTGAGGGATCGTCTGCACTGAGAAGACATATTTGATGTTACAGCAATATAGCACCATTCATATTAATCAGTTTGCCTGAAAAGTGTCTGAACCATCTCTCTGACAAAGCAGGTGAATCACTGAATCACCTGTTTATACACTACACTGATTTTTCCTCATGGATGATCATCACTTGCTGCTGCTGCTGCTCACATCCTTACTTCAAAAGAAATCATGAAAATCTCTCCTGGAGCCAAGACAAAAACAGATCACAATGACTCCTATGATATTTATTGATGAGTCCTGCAAAAACCTACTTTCACAAGAGCCGCTAGAGCACCAGAGGGGTTGGGCTCGTCAGCCTCGTCTCCCTGAGACTCAGCTGTGCTTGGCATCGTCGACTCCGCTGCTGTGTCTGATTGCGTTTGGTCAGCAGGTTGCATCAGACTGTCTTCCACACAGGTGTCGTCCATACTGTACTCCATGTCCACCAGGCTGTGGCGGTTTCTGGAGCTGTACTCCACAAGGTTTATTAGTAGACCCAGACCCTGTTAAACAAAACAGAATACACAAATAAGAATTAACATACTAAAAGCTATATGGGTTAGCAGAATATATTTTCAACAATTATGGAGTGTTGTTTTATTATGTTGTAGAAACATAGTACTTACCAGAACTCGTATATCAAAGCGCTGCTCCTGGGGGATGTAACGTGGGACTCGGAGGATGCAATTCAGAGCAGTTACAATAAGTTGTTCCTGCTCACCTGTTTTAGTACTGCCCCACTCTGAAAACAAAAATAACATCACTATTAACTACTGCTGATATTAGCCACCATTATCTCCTGTCAAGCACCTGAATATTATATATTTCATGGCAAACAATAGGGAAACCAACTAGGTCTGAGAGATATGGTGACAAGCTACATGATATTTTAGATGTGGTAATACTACGAAAATGTATGCATTCAAAGAAAAAAAGGCCATCATTTTGAATTATTAACATGCAGAATCTATTGGCGAGGGAGGGTCAGGAAGCCTTCTGCTACACAGTCTCCGCAAATGGAAAACCCACCGTTCAAACCGGAAGCCCCAAAATATTGCCATTGCCCCAGAGGTTAATTAATTGCCAGGTGACAGCTGATGGGCTCCATTACTAACTGGTTGTTACTCTCCAGGAATTTCAGGCAAAAACTAACACACACAAAGGTAAATAAGAGCATGTGCAAAAAATGTCAGGTTGTAAATGAGAATACCATTGTCATGGGTGAGGTTGAGCAGCACTCCTATGACAGCCCTCATGCAGTCCTCCACTGCCTTGCCTACGTTACTGAAGCTGCAGTGGGGCAGCGTTGCACCAGACGATGAAAGGGAGCTGTTGTTTAATGCCCTGCTGTAGCGCTGGATCATATCCTCACAGTACCGCAGAGCTCTAAAAAGTAATAAAAATTGTTGAGAGGAATTAAAATGCAGAAAACAAGCACAAGGGTGAAGGAGAGGGGAGGTTCAGTCTGCTTTTGTGAATCAACCACACTACTGCAATATTAATCAAAGTTCAGTGGTTAAAGATAAGATCTAACTTAACCTATAATGCCAATTAACACAAATTGGAAATCTTTATGGGCTCCAATGGTAACAATTACTTAATAATTAATTTCATTTTCTTTTACCTACAGTCCATGATACACTAATTATTCCTTTGCTTCAAAAGGTGATATGTTTTATTTAACAGGTCTCAGTAATTACAAAAGCACAGTTCAATATGATGGGTCCAATAGTGCAACACAAAGCACAAAGGAAAGCTGAATGAACTGAAACAAAAAGTGCCTCATTATGTGTCTGTGTCCAGTCAATAACAGCCCCGAGCTGTATCTGGTAGTGCTCACCTGGCAGAGGAGACAATGAGCTGCGAGTCTTTGTAGGCAATCAAGTAACCCTGGTTTTCTGGGTTCTGAACTGTCACCTGTCGGCATAGGATGAAAGAGAAATATAATCAGTACCGGAGAAAGAATATTGACTTGTTTGAAAACGAGTCAAGAATAAGAAATGAAAGGAGACACTCATGTATTTGACTGAGACTTTTGAATGATGACATTTAGACAGCTTTTTAACCAGCTTTTCATCAGTGAAAAATAAAAGTTACCAGCCAATTCACAAGATCACAAGTGTCACTCTTATATGACATTGGAGCAATGGAGAACCCAGTTTGACAGTTTAACCCAGCAGTACTTACACTTTCAAGCACTCTCAGACACCTCTCAGCCCCCCATAAAGACGCTACGAGGTTTTCCTTGTCGTCCTCTTGGCTGAGGTTCTGCACACACTCTTTAACTGCAGCGACACAACACACGACTATTACACATGCTGGCAGCTCCTTGAAAGTCAACAGCTTTGACACTCAACCTTGGAAAACATATTTGCACATGTACACCGGTATAGAGGAAAATGCAGACTTTAACATAAGTACAGTAGCATCTCACAAACCCACCTTTGTCTACAATATGATCCAAACCTCCCAGTAGCCGCAGCTCTTCTTTGAACCAATCTCCAGCTCTCTTTGAGGTCAGAGAGAGCAACGTCTCCATGGCAAGATGGCCCGTCTACAAAAGAAAAAAAACAAGATGTAAAATCTACACTTTATTTGGCATTACACTTTTGGAAACATTAAGAAAAAAAAAAGTACTTTATATCCAGAGGTTAAGCTTTTTCTTATGAGCTACAAAATACAACACACCGTTATGTTTTCCAGGTCAAGATGCTTATTGTGCACAGTCTCACACAACTTCCTGATCTTCTCCTTGACCTTGGCAACCTCCTTCTCTGTGAGCTGATCATGGTGGCCTGAGTAGTCCTGGTCCATCTCCAGCAGCTTAATCATTAGCTCCAGACACGCCCTATCCAGGTCCATGTTAAGACGATCCCGACTCAGAATATACATCAGGGCAGCCGTGCACAGAGCAAGATTCTGGTGGAACAGAGACAGGCTTTAACAAAGTGGTGCAGCACATACTGAGGTCAGACAAGTTGTCTATTTATCTATTAATACTGCACAATTCCCTGAACCTTATATATATATGAATATCAGTCTATCATGTGGTAAACAACAAGAGAAATAATCATTTAAAACCTTACAACATAACAGCAACAATGCTGAAGTTTTTGAGGGAGACAAAGTTTGGAAAAGCAGGTCACAGAAAAGAGTTTTACTGACCGGGTGTTGTGGAGCATCACTGAGCATTTTGAAAACCTGTGCCACTTTCCCTCTGGCTCGCAGGTGCATTCTGAAACCGGGCATGGCACACCTTGTGGCCAGGCTGATTATACTGCAGCAGTGACAGAGAGGGAGAAATAAATGAAGGGTTGCACATATGGTGAGTGAAATATTTTGTCAGTCTAAAAACTATGAAGAATGGTGGAATCATGTGGAGCAGCCCACTTCTAAATCCACATCACTATTTCTGATTCCTGTCACAAACATGTGCTTTTCACCCTCTTTTCTCTTCATAGCTAAAGCCTGAAAAACATTCCAAGGCTGGACCCCCTGCAGCGTTTCCTGAAGCCAAGGTTGTCTTTCGTGAACAGATTCACAAAAGAAAAGCTGAATGCTTTGTCATTCTACAGAAAAACACATTTTATTTAGCCACATTTCCTCTATTTTCTCACAATTCAACAAAGAATAGAAAAGCAAATATAGGTATATGTACACTGCCTTATTATCTTTATTTGATTTGTCATTTAATACATTTTTAGTGTTGTCTTGAGAGAAAATACAAATCAAAACACCAATTACACCACGATTCCTTTCTTTTTTATGTTATATTGCATCTGAAAAGATAATCTTGTTAATCATAACTTTATATTGCTGCCTCCTGCTGCTGATAGCATGGTAATCATTCTGTTTACTATAATTAGGAACAGTTGCACAAATTATAAAGCTATGGTCAATTAAAGCAGCTGTTCCTCCATTTCCTTTATAAATAGACTAACAGTTGTATCTTAAACAACCGTTAAGTGACAAGCTCTTCTAGTATTCATTCAATTTAGTGAGCTATTTCTTACTTGTCAGTATCAACAATGTGCTACCTCAAGCAAAAAATGTCAGACACTTATGGCATCCGAGTGCCCCGGTGTGAAAATGCCACAAAGAAAGCAGTGCTAATTTTTTCCCACCACATACCTAAGGCATCTTGTGTTGAGTGGCTGACTGCTCTTCAGTCCTGTCTCCAGGTACTCAAAGTCATCTGTGAACTCTTGATTTTCTCCGAACTCCACCACGTCATTGAAGTGCTTCACATGCTGCACCACCGTGTACAGCTGGTGGAGGAGGAATGGGGTTAATTACAGTTAATTGGGAAGCAGTGTATTTGTCTGGAGATATAATCAACCCGCACACACAAACATACATAACCCCACTGAGAGAAATCCTATTGTTAAACTCTTCTCTACTGGTCCCATTACCAGCAATAGCTGACTGTGCTAATACCCGTGATCAGTCTGCTCAGCATGAGGAGTTGAGGCCTGATCAGCAGTCGACTCAGTATGTTTACCAATAGCAACAGTCATGCTGTGTGTGTGCTCAGCATGACACAGGAGGGAGGACCTCATCTTAAGACAGCACGAATGTTTAGTGACAGCTTAGCTGAAGCAATTTTACCTCCGGGGATCTATGGCAAACAGATTGATCCACGGTCGGTGAGCCCATTTGTAAATGACACTAGCTGTAGGGAAGCTTCAATTAACAGCAACAGTTTTTACTGCTACCTCCAGCCCACACTGGGGTTCAAATAAACAATGGTGGGCTTGACATCATGCTTCAAATGAATCCTATGCTTTTACTGCATCAAATAAAAGCAGCTTGTGCAAGTCTAAAATATACAGCTTAAATCATTGCATCATGCAAACAAATGAATTGAAGGTTGAACACAAATAAGAATGTAACCACCCCTCTATTGTTAAGCCGACATCTAAATATACCACAGTGTTTCCAAAACTCACCTCCTTGTGCTCCTTCCTGCATTTGAGAGCCGTGACAATATCCTGGTTGAGTCGCGTGGGGAGGGTCTCTGACTTAATGACTTTGGGCGGAGGTGGAGGGGCTTTGAATAGGCCGTCATCTTTATGGGAGTTGCTGTCTTTGCTGCTGCTTGATAAAATGGCCTAAGGAGGAAAAGAGGTGGAGAAATGGGGCTCATACCAAAGCCACAAAATCTTTTTAATGATATGTCAGCAAGATTTACCTCAGCTGAACAGTTTGTTAAGCACACAAGTCTTTAATACATGTTGTTAACAGATGTCAGATGCCTTCGTCTAAGGTTAACAACAACTTTTAAATCGTAGTTGCCAGACTGATTAAGTTGTCTCTAAAAAATATAATTCCATTAAATGATATCAACAAAAAATAAATAAGTAAAGCCTGGTTCACTTGTCTGGTAAAGCTCTGTGTGAACAGAAAGAGACTAATTATAGTAATTAATACACAAGTGTTGACTATAAAGAGAACAATTATCCTGTATTGTGGAAAGCAGAGAATGGGAAATTCTCTAAACAAATGATACAAGTTATTAGCATTTGCTTTACATAACTCTTATATTGCTTGCTTTGTGTGCAAATTTAAATTCATAGTTATCACCTGTCAACAGTCAAGTTCATGACAAGATTCCCTGTGATTAGTTTGCCAAAAAGACACAATACAGCTAAACATAATATATATAAACACAAAGCAAATGATATCTTACTGGAGCAGTTTGAGCTCGAGAGAGTGGAGGCACAGGAATCTCCTCAGGTTCAGGTTGGTTCCAGTGGCGAGCGTTGTACACAGCCTTCGCAGGTGACTGAGACAAAAATGTAGAAGATTATTTAAACATGATGTTTGTTTCATGTACATTCTACTACTTACTTATAGAGTGATATTTATGGTAAACCTCTCATGACACCTAAGGCTAAAGTACTAAGAGGATAAAAGGGTCTTTCTGTTTAAAATCACGACAATTTAAACTGCACCATCACAGATCTTAATGAAATTTGGAGCACTGTTATGAACATATGACAAAGTTATGGAACAGAAATTTCATGTGTATAAGATAGTAATTAATATATAATATGGGCTAACACAGTCTGAACTTTTTGGGGAAATGGCTCTCACATCCTTTTAAATCTGTTTTCCATAGCTCTAGGATAATAATTCAAGAGTATACTGTTCTCAATATTAACTTACAGTATAATGACTGATTATATCAGTTTAAGTTGAATTGTGAAAAATAAATATTAATTAAATATTAGAAACTTCCAGAAAGTTTGAGATGCAGTGACTGTTCTATATTTGGCTCCTTGCTTGAAAATTAAAATAATTTTGTTTTCTTAAGATTTGACTCTTCTGAAAACTTAAGCAAAAAGTGGACAGGAAAAAAAAAAAGACTATGTCACACTCATATTAAACTCTATGAATCATTCTGACATAAAACTGAAGTTATTGTTGTGAATTAGTGCAACTGAACAGATACATATTGCATAGTACACTCATGATGATACACTAAGACATCAGCAGCCTAAGTGTGAAGCAGAACAGTCCCCAAGCACACAAAAACATCTCCTGAAAACAACATGTGCAACTCAATTATATATCACAAAGACAATGTTTGGAGTTTTGCTGATGACAGAAGCACTAAACACACAGGATTAGGAAGACAGTCCACAAATAACCCAAAGCCACAACAAAACATGATTCAGACAAACAGAGCAAATGTAGGCATTACATAATGTAGCACAAATCAAAGCAGAGTTATTCTGGTAAATATTGGACTGAACAAGCTGTTATGTTCAGATCCCCCTTAATAATAATAAGACCATGCAGTGCGTGCAACTGAACACACATTCCCCCCTTTCATGTGAGACTGCTGTCACAGATTAATCCCTGGGCAACAGTGTTCAGACACTAGTATGCAACAGTGGTTTTAGCACACATTACTGCTGACGCAGAGTTGGATTACACTCAATGATATCCAAATAAATTTAGGTTTCAGTTCAGCCGTTTTACTGCCTACTTGCTCTATTTTTCTCTGCTCTCTCCAATTATCTCTATTTTTAGACAAGCTGGGTATTCCGTTACGCAATTGTCATTTAAACATCAATAACAGACACAGAGTTCAATCCTGGTCGGAAGGAAGGTCACGAAGGCAAGTTAGATAACACACCATCAGCCGTTCATATTGATCGCAGACTCCTGTTAAACCAGAGTTAATTTCAATAGGTCAAGAGATTCATGGCTGCTCAGTCTGATTGAGTAATTGCTAAAAAAAAATCTAATGGGCAATTATTCCTCAACAAAAATGGTGCATTATAAAGGACACAAATTACTTGTCTGAAAGCAGGCAGACCATCAGATAGTTTCTAGCATGCTTATATACCTTTTTGGGTCCACTGAAGATTTTTTTGAATCCACTGCCAACATCCTTGGATTTGTCACTCTGCTTCCCTGAGCGTCCTTTCTGTCCCTCAGGTCCTCCAGGACTGGATTCATCAGAGAAGTCAAAAGCATCTGTTGGGAGAAACCAAGTCAGTATGTAAATGGGGGACAAACCTCACTGGGTAATCTGAAGTCAAATCCTTTGACGTAGGCCACCCCACCTGTGTTGCTGCTGGCCTGGCTGTCCTGAGAGTCACTGGTATGAGGGCTGTCCACACTGGAGCATAGAGCGGCCAAGGCTGCAGCCGCCTTCTTGGCTTTCTTCTCTTTGGCCTGAGAGCTCTCGTCATCACTGTCACTTTCACTCAGGTCATCAAAGCCAAAGTACTTGATCTTGTAGTTACTCTTGCCTGCCATGGCGGCATCTGAGCCGTCCTCACCCCCATGGTCCTCTTTGTCCTCAAAGCCAAAGAACTCTAGCTTGGACTCAGTCTTGGTCTTCTTTGTCTTTGTCTGAGTGGGTCTGAATCTGTGAAGATACAGCAAGGTTTTTATTCCCTTTGTGTTTGTATTGTTCTATTTTACTGAGACATGTGGAAGAAAAGGGGAAACTGGAGCAGGACAAGCACAACAAAACACACACCTTCAAAGTAAACAAATAAAACAAAGCCTGATCCAGAGGTAGGCGGCCAAAGTTTGTGGATAACTGAGAGAATGGAAAAGTTTTCTAAGTCAGATAACAGTTGCAACACAACACAGCGCTATTGTTTAGAACCCAACGTACGATAAGAGATAATGGACCTATAATAGATCACAATGCTACATACTCTTAGTGGCAGTGTCTTCAAACCGCTGATGTGGACAGTATCTTAAAATTATAATTTGTTTCTCCTGCTTAAAAAGGAGTGTGTGAGTGAACGCACAGTGAAGTATGGAACAAAATTAATGGTTATTATTTCTATCTGGCGCATTTTATTGTGTAAGCATGGTGCTGGAAATTGTAATAATTTATTCATGCAAAATCTTGAATGATTCACAAGGACACATAATTTCAGAAAGCTTGAACAAAAATCATCAATATAAAATTCATCAGACTGAATAAAAATGCTGGAATGTTTAAGAATGAATGTGATGGCATGACTGCTAAGATGTTAGTCCTCAATTATTCAGGAGTTTCCCTGAGTTTTCAGAGGGTTTGGGTGCTCTCTTGGTTCCATGGGGTGTTGGTGGTTCTAGGAGTGTCAATCTCTAAGCATTTATTTGCTTTAAATATATCTAAATAATGTTTTTAGAACAGCAACAGTAAACTCACTATAAAAACTAAATATTATATTGGAAAAATGTCAATGCAATAATTAATGCTGAATCCTTGACATTCCTGACCTCAAGTTAACCTTTAAGATAATGGAGACAGGCATTAGTCAGTATCAGTACTGTCATGAATCTTAACATACAGAGAGCTTCTGGACACCTAAACTTCTGTCAAAACAAATGCAAAGCCTCTGTGCTCTGCTGTGTGTGTGCGAAAGGTTTAGTTCTGAACACCACCCTCTGTAAAAAAAAATTTTTTAAAAAGAGTCCAGGCAGCTGAGAAGCTGTCAGCACTTATGATAATAATGTTATAATGGCAAAGAAAACCCTGCTATCATGCATTGCCACAATTTTAAAGAAAATCAGTAACCTATATATGAAAGTTTTTTGATACAACTTTGTTATGTCCACTATGCAGGCGGTTGAGACGCATAGAAAAGCAAAAGATTACCTGTTAGTTTTGGGTGCTGGAGCTTCAGACTTCTTCTTCATCTGGCCCGCCTCTCCAATGTCAGCAGGGGCAGCTGGAGTGACCAATTCATCGCCACTCCGCTCAATTGAGTCCTGGATGGTGACGTTGCACACGGATAGACAGGAAGGGTGCAGAACTGTATAATCCCGAACCCTTCCACCGCCTCTGCCTGGTGGCTTGGCTGCTGTTTTAGTACCAGTGGCCGTACTACTTCCACCAGCAGGAAGGACGCTGTTAGGTTTGACTACAGCACTAGCAGTTTCACTGGGCTTATCGTTGTTTTCAGCAGGTTCAGAGGGTGTTTTGTTGAGCTTGTTGGGCCGCTGGTATTTCTTGCGGTTAGAGGCCCTAAGGGTGAAGGGGGATGGGGGAATGTTGTCCACAGGTTCTGGTGGAGGCTGTGTGAGTGGTTCCAGCTCAGCACTTTTCATCTCTTCTGATGGCAGCTCATCATAAGAGGAAGACATTTGACAGTCTCTGCCACCAGCTGGTGCATCACTGGACAGTTTAAGGTATGTGTTTACATTGGGAGAGGAAGAGAAGGGCCTCTGGGATGCTGAGAAATTCTGATCAGAAGGGACTGCGTTTGAAAAAGAGGCCACACATGCAAGTTTCTGGTTGCCATCTGATGTGCGTTTTAACCAGGGCTGGGTATTTTTCAAAGCCTTTACTTCAAGTGTTTGCTTGCCTATGAAAGAAGAAGACATTTACAGATAGTTACATTAAAAACTGACATCACAACTAAATGGGAGGCAGATACCATCAGAAAGTGAAAAAAACAGGTAGGTAACAAATTGAACAGACTATTAAGTGTAAATACATTAGCGGTGTTGACACATTGATTACATACTTGTGAACGTGGCTGCTGAGCTTGCAGAGTCCTGTGCAGAAGTCACAACAGCGGCAGCCCCACCACCCTGCACTGCAGTAGTCTTGGACACATCCCCTTCATTGACTTTCAGCTGGGGCAGGCTGTGAGAAGTCACGGTCTTGGACTCATCATCGCTGTCAAACCCAAAGGGGTCGTCCTCACTGTCGCTATCTTCAAGCCGGGGTCTCTTGGTAAGCTCTGAGGTGTCGGATTTTAACAGAGGCCTTTTGGCACCCAGCTGAGCCTTGTAGGTGGTGTCTCCCCATTTTGTGGTCAGTGTGGACCTTTTATTGGAGAAGACCTCTTCAAATTTCGAATTGGCCTCCCCTCCCTTGCGGTTGTATGTTTTACCGAATCTGGATGTCATGTCGGATTGTTTCTGTTACATATTCCCTGTAAAAAATGCAGAATATAATCAACATATAGCTCAGCCAGTGTGTGTATATAAATATATATATTAGTGTATATATGTATGTGTAAAAAATGGTTAATCGGCACGTTTATACCACGTCTTAAAACGAAAAATAAACGAGTTGTTTTCCTGATCAAAGAGGCAAAATGTGGCTACTTAACTTGACATTAGCATCTGAGTCAAGTCCTGTTTAGCATGGTTAGCTCACGCAGCGTAGCTTGGCAATAACGGATGATTCGTCGTATCTGCGCAACATAACAGGAAGCTAAGGCGACTTTGACCAACTTTAACAAAGTTAATCCTGGATAATTACGCTACTATTACACTGACGGGAGAGAGTTCACTCACCTGCGTGTGTGAACTCTTACCCAGGCCTGCTGCAGCTTGTAAAGTTACCATAAACTTAGCCGTTAGCTTCAACGCCGCTAACTATGCTAACGCTAGCCCGCAGAGGTATTAGCGTCAAATATCGGAAACCTTGGCCTTTTAAATGTGATATGAACGTGCGGGTGGATTCAGAGATGAATGTTTGTGATCATCGGGGGGTGTAAACGAGCAGAGGCGCCCTCTCTTACCTTTAAACTCCACTGACAGGCTAACAGTCCGCTTGTTTGTTAGCCAGCCGGCTAGGCCTGCCGCACAAATCAAGCGGGTAAAAGTCCGTTAAACGCTGTGGAAACAACCCGAAAAAACACGCCTGTGGACCGGATACGTCCCCACGGCGGCGTGTGTCACCAAAGAAAAGCAGCCCGCACGCACCAGTGGCTAACAAAGTCTAAACATAGTAGATAATCCGGACATTTTGCTTTATGAAGTGCATCCGACGGCCATTAAAATATCCCTCCCTCCTCGCTCCCTGGCAAGACCCCTGTGTAGAGCGAGTGAGGCGACCAATCAGAGGCGGGGATGGTTTCCTGTGCGCTGAGACTCCGTCAGCAAACGCGTCTCTGATTGGTTGAAACCTGACGCCACAATAAACGACAGGGGGCACTGGAGGATCACGTTAGTTTCTCTCTCTCTCTCTCCCCTCTCTCTCTCTCTCTCTCTCTCTCTCTCTCTCTCTCT